TTGCTTTCTGTTTTCCTAGTGTACCTCAAAAAAACTCTCTTGCAGGAGTACCTCATTTTTTCTCACCGACCTCTTCTCTCTTTTCTTCACATGCTGTCACCCCATAAAAAACTTCAAAAAATACATTGATGGTGTTGCTCTTAGTGATGGGGTGAGGATAAAATTGTACAGTTTTTTATTTATATTTTTGTGTGGACATAATCTTAATAATTGGTGGTTGATCGAGTGTGTGTCATCTTGTGTAACACAGATGCAAGTCAACTAATGCAAACCATCTAAATAAAGTCAGCTGCAATGATTTCCCATTTTGACCTCTAAATTACAGAAATGATATTTTGGTGACTTAGGCAGCTTAAATAATGGTTCAACTAAGAGTGTCACCTTTGGACTTCCCATTTGTACGTTTATTGTTTGCCGTCTATTTCCCTTTGACATTTGTACAATTGTACACCATATAAATCTATAAAACACTCATTTCAATCTCTCTTTCTCTCATCTACTCATCTGATAACATACTATTAATAATATACTATACAATCATCGTTATCAAGAACTCATTAATTAAACGCACGCCCGTTGAATTTTAATATTTTCGATTAAAAAATGTCACTATATATTATTAATTAAAAAATATTAATTACAATTGAAGCATGTATTTTGTTTGTTTTTTAACTGTAAGCGCAAACCGATTACTTTTTGGTGGACTCTGAACAATGTTTTCTAAGCAATAAATATTTTTCTACAATCAGATAATATTATCAACTAGTTAAACTCACTAACCCAATCAACTAACAGATATTTACCAAACACCCCCAATTATGTGTTGATAAACTCTTTGTGCATCATAGTTGAAATGTCATTCCTAGACATTTTGACGTTATATTATTTTAAGAAAATGATGAACATCATCAACCATTAACTTAATCAAACAATATAATTTGACTGGTGAGGCATATGAGGAAATGTCATGTCGTTAAAACGGCACCTTTATATTCCAGGTGGGTTTTGATGTCATTAATTAATCGGGCTACATTACAAACTAATATACTGCAGTTGACCATCATTTAAATTTTAAAGCATTAATTATACCACCCCGGGCCCTTAATTTGATTCTAATCCTAGCTACTTAATTATTAATTATCACAATTCCGTTACGAAACTAAACTTTTGCAAGCTTTTGGAGGCGTGTTACGTTAAAATTAGTGAGACCAACAAAGAATTTGTAAAATTGAAAACACTCGAGACTCTTCATTACAGATAATTTATTTCTTATATTTTAGTAATATTATATATTATATATTTATAATAGTGTTGTGAATTGTGATGTTTCTTCATGTAAATCATTGTATCATTCTTATTTTGGGATGCAATCAATATTTTTAAATATAATTGAATAATAAAATGAGAAAGATAATAATGGAGAAACAAAATGAAATATAGGGGAAGAGAGATTTTACCATATATGATTTACAAAATGAAAATGTTTTTTTTTTTCTGAAATCTAGTGACTATATTACATTGTAGCATTTGTTCATTTATACTTTCTCAACATGTTGAAGCCCAAAGAGTCAACACCGCCTCCACTGAGGCTCGATCTCATGACCTCAGCTCCCATATAGGAGAGTCACTACATGTTATTTGAACACAATGTGCTTGACACAAAATGAAAATGTTATTTCTCCATACTTTAAGAAAAAAAAATGTCATTTTCCTTAAATAATATTACCATATATGATTTGTGTGACCTCATTGTTACATCATGATAAAATGTTATATTATTTCTTTTATTCCGTGAAAAAAAAAATTAAATGGAGGTTTTGTTTGAAATTAAAGGGTTTGACAGAACATGATGATACATCTACTCATACATTGATAACTAGAAGTCTAGAACCCTATAAAAAAGAATTCTACTACATGTACTTCTAAATCACACTTCTGAAATAACGAAATTTAATCTTTGATGTTACGAATTCTAATAAGTTTTTTTATTTTATTTTATTTTATGTGAGTCTCAATACAAATATTTACATCAAGATTTTATGTGTGAAAATATAAATTGAGTGTAAAAATATGAATACACACAGCATTTTCTTATAGAAAATAATAATAATAAAAGCTATGATGGACCGACCTACTCTTCAATTCATTTAGTGCCTTTTTCTGCAATTATCATGATTGACATTAAAGAAGCCGGCCTTTCCTTTGTTTCTTTTATATTCACACCTGCAGTTTTTTTTTTTTTTTCTTCAGTGTAACACAGAGTTTTTACTGTCAGACAGAGTGACTCATCATCTTGCTGAATTATAAATATTTTTATTGAGTGAAACAACTGACTGAAGATTTAAGACTGATCCATATCAAAATTAAGAATTCAACTCTTAACGTTTAGTTAATGATAAATGAATCCTTTTAACACAACCATACCCCAAGTTACCTGCAGTTTCCCATACGAACTGGCCAAACTATATATTAATCTTTTATTTTGGACCACCTTTTGCCCCCGAAATGCTTTTGAGTCCCTTGCTTATGTTGTTGAATTGGGCAATTTTTAACGAGAAATACCTTTTGTTCTTTGCATCTATTGGTGCCAGATTGGGAGATCATTGGGCCTCATAAGAGACCCTTGTCTAGTTGTCTTGACTTTGCAGTCGATTGATGACATATAAAATTAATGGATATAAAATTGTTTAATGTTAACGTATAATATTTTTTAATTAAAACGTATTAATATTTGTTATAAGTTTATAAACAATATTAATATATATTTAACTAAAAGTATTACATTTTTCATTTAAAACAATCTCACACAAAAAAGAAATAGATTTAACATGTTATTATCATATAAGTGCATGTAAACATGGGTTGAGGTTCAATTTTTTGGAAGAATGTAAACATTAATATTTTAAAATTAATTACATTAAATGACAATTTATTGATTTGACCGGTTTTACCTGGAGCAACATATAAAAAAAAAAATATTAATTACACAATTTTTGTTGTTTAATGTCTCAGTTGCACTTTTTTTTTTCAATGTTTTAATTATACAAAATGTAAAATTTTAGTGACTTACGTTATATCACAATAGTAAGGATTAAGACTGGTTTTTTTTTTTTTTTTTTTTTTTTAATAGTTTTTGAACGTGAACTAAAAGTGGGCATACCCAATAAAGGTAATAATTGTATGTATTCACTGTCCAAGAGCCCAATTCAAATAAAAAAAAATAGCCTATACCACATTTATTTGAGATAGGCCCAAAACCTAGCCTATTAAACATGAAGACCTGTTTGGTAAAATAGTCTGTGCATCTGTGTGCACCATGCATGATGCATACGGATGTAAAAATGATGTCGTTTTGACTAAAAATGTGCGTCTTATTTAAAAAAATTTCAGTTTCGATTCTCCTCAACAACATTATATTGTTCATTCATTCTGGATTTTTAGTTCATAGATTCTGGATTTTTAGTTCATTGATTCTGGATATTTAGATGGAAATCGAAACTGATTTTTTTTTTTTTCTTTCATGCTGGATTTTTAGTTCATTCATTATGGATATTTAGTTCATTCATTATGGAGTTTTAGTTCATTCATTCTGTATTTTTAGTTCATTGATTATAGATTTTTAGTTCATTGGTTATGGATTTTTAGTTCATTGATTCTGGATATATAGTTCAAATTATGCACAACATAATGTTGTTGCCGGGAATCGAAACTGATTTTTTTTTTTTTAAGTGGGATGCACGTTTTTATTCAAAACAACGTCATTTTTGCATCCGTGTGCACCATGCATGGTGCACAGCATAATTTGCCGTCAAATAGCAGTCGTTATATCGTGGACTGCGGTGCAAAAAACGGCGCAGTTTTTTAAAGTAAAGAAACGGCGCGCCGTTAAGTGTGTATTTTTTGTGTATTAATTATGAACTGAAAATATAGTATATCTAAACCGGCACTGCCTCGCGTATTATTTTTATATTATCAAATGAAACTTCAGTTATATCAAAATGATATTGTAGTTGTGTTGAAATGAAACTGCAGTGTATATAAAATGAAATTGAATAACATTTCACATATTTGAGTGTATATTGTACAATGAAGCTGTAATTATATCAAAATGGACATGTAGTTGTGTTTTAATAAAACAATACTGTATATAAAATAAAATTAAGTAACATTTTCACATATTTGAGTTTATAAATATCGAATGAAACTGTAGTTGTATACAAAATAAAACTGAATAACAGAGTTACTTTTTGCGGAAGGTGCAGAATGGCGGGAAACGGATGCCGTTTCTTTTCATTAAACAAAACGACGCCTTTTTTATGCGCAATGCATAATCGATTATGAAACGCGGTGCACGATATAATTTGCCGTAAAATAGTTAGCATATTAGTTAATTTTGGCTTATTTGATCACTATTAATTGTTTGATTTGGTTTAAAAATTAATATAAGTGTTTGGTTAATTAGTTTTTTGTAACTACAAAATGCTAAAATTCAAAAAATTACTCAAAGCAACTTTGTCAATTAGTTTTTTGAGAAAATAAATTATATCAAACAGCTATCAGCTAACAGTTAATTTATCAAACTCATTTATACAATCAGCTAATGTTATATCAACTAGTTATACCTTGTAATTAACACAATCAGCTAACAACTAACATCAATTTATCAAACAAGGCCTAAATCTCAGTCTTATTTCTTATAATTTTCTTTCGAGCCCAAACCTGCCATAGTGAAGCAACTGTGTAGACTACAAATTAAAAACACATTATTTGAATACTGAAAGTACATTATTTTGTTTGACAATTGAACGGTGTGTTGAAGTAAAATGACTTATAAGTCATTAAACACATTTCTGCAATGTTTGTCAATAACCTAATTGTCAAACACACCCTTCAATTTAATATTAAATTTATAATATATTTTATTTTTAACTAATATATTATTAAATTTATAAAACAACCCCAAGGTATATATATGAAATTTGGCTCGAAGCCCTAACCCCCAATTTCAATTTCCAAATTTCAATTTTTAGTTTTCGACCGTCCCCGACTCCGACTTGGCGACTCCCTCCCGGTGCGGCGTGGAGTGACTACGTGCCGCGACTCCCTCCAAGTAGGTTGGTCTTCTACTTTCTTTTACTCTGTATTCTGCTGCGGACTGCTGTGGGTCGGTGGCGTGACCGGAAACATGCGGTGCCGTGAGATCGCGGCGGCCTCCGGATTTGTGTTTATTTTTGGTGTATTTTTGACGGATTCTGGACATTGAATTTAACTTGTCTTTTTAGATTTTTGTATTTTGAACTTATGGATTTCTGGTCATGTACTAGGTTTGTATTGAGAAAATTGTCAGCAGCTACTTTCAATGGTCGGTTTCAGTCACCTCGTTTATCTTATATTCAAATGTTGGTTTCGGTCGGTTATGGTGTTCCTAATTTTTTTTTGGTTATTTTGTTTTCTGGTCCTGGGCTCACTAATCAAGCTCTGGACCCTCTTAAGTCTTGTGCATTTTGTTCTCTCGCCTTAGTTTTTATTTTTTGTTAATTTTCATTATTTTAATTCTTTCCATTGATCTGGTTTATTGATTTTTGTTTTTACTTTTGACTGCTCTGCTATTGGTTTTTTATTTTGAGTTTTTTGTTCTTTGTCGGAAGAAATTTGATTGTTTCAATCCCGTTTGAATACACCTTCAGGTAAAACAAAATATACCCAAGTCAATAGATTTATATTCATATTATTATAGGTAAGTTTTAATTGTATAGCAGATTCATAAAGCTACAAGGAAAATGAATTTCTGGATGAATACATTTCCTTGTAATAGACTAATACTAGGTTTGAGTAATGTATTGCTAGTAGCTTTTAATGGGAAGCATCTTTGCATCAAGGAAATAGATATTTGTTTATTTGAACTTTTTTTTTTTGCTATGAACTTCTTGAACCAATATTATTTGCGTCTGCTATCTGAGCTCTTTTTTATTTTTATTTTATTTTTTTTTGAATATAAGAATGATTGAATTGACTACCTCACAGGCCAGTATTCAGTAAACACTTGCTGGAACTGCATATTTTATTTGGGTCGCCCTATGGATCTTTTGTCTAAAGTATATTCTAGTGCTTCAGACGAAGATGAAGATGGCAATGGCAAAGCTGAACAAAAGGCACTCACGTGGCATCCTCAGAAGCGGGCCAAATTCGAACCATTTAACCAAAACTTTAAACCCGTGCCAGTGTTTCAGCCAAATATCGACCCAAATCTTCCATTGGATGGTCCTATTCCCGGGAGGTACATCTCTAAGCGAGAGCGGAGCATATTGGCCTCTGCTTCAACGGTTTCCAACCCGATCCAGCCTCCCTCTCCAATAACACCAGGTTTTAGCCCATTTGCATCCTTTGCCTTGTTTAATTTGAGAATTTATGAAGGCCCTGTTTGGTAAAAAATTGGCCTATAGGCCAATTTTGACTTATTTGATCACTATTAATTGTTTGATTTAGTTAAAATATCAATATAAATATTTGGTTAATTAGCTTTTTGCAACTCCAAAAGGCTAAAATTCAAAAAGCTACTCCAAGCAACTTTTTCAATTAGCTTTTTGAGAAAAGAAATTATACCAAACAACTATCAGCTAACAACTAATTTACCAAACACTTTTCTACAATCAACTAATGTTATCAACTATTTATACCCTCTAATTAATACAATCAGCTAACAGCTAACAGCTATCAGTTAACAACCATTTTACCAAACAGGGCCTTTATGTTTTCTTTTGGTTAACCATTTGGAAAAATGTCATAAAATATGAAAAGTACCACCTACTATATTTGTAATACCCTTTTCATTGAAATAGTATCTTAGTTTGGTTGCAACTTGCAAGAGTAAAGGAGAAAATGATTTGTTTCCACATACATTATGCACATTATGACACTTAATGCTTATAGGTATTTAAAAATATATATTTTGCCACTTTCAAACTTCTAACAGAAAATTGTTAAACCTAAGCTAATAGTTATAGGAAAGGTTAAAAGAAATGTCATCTAATAATCTTAATAGTGTTTCAATCATAGAACACCTTTTTTTTTTTTTTTTTTTTTTTTTTGGGTTTTTGCAACAGTAAATCATCAACCTTCATTTGTATTAGTTGGATCTCGTCATCAGGCTGTGTAATAGATACCCAGAAGCTCTGAAATATTGGAAATGGACTTGCCGGGTTAGGCAAGCTACCTAGTAAAAAGGAGTCTCTCTTTGACCAGTGTGGAATTTGTTAGTAATTAGGATTGATAGATCAAATATCACACTACATACCTGTTTGAAGATAGTTGATTGCTATACTTCCCTCTCTATTAACTTTTTGTCTGTTGACTTGCTTGATATGCTATTTTGTTTCCAGTTTTGGGAACCATTTCTGTTTCAGATCTTCCTCAGAATATTTTATCAGCATTGAGGCGCCAATCTAACATAAATACACACATAGGCCAAATGCCTAAAGGACTGTCAGTAACTCTTGATGGGCACACAAAATCTGTTAATGCTGTACAATGGTCGAGAAGTCATGGTAAGTGTTCCATCCTTAATGAAAGTAATACAAACAAATTCTCTCTCTCCCCATTTGATGTTTCCTCTCCATATCATCTGTGCTTGACATCTAATACAGAGTATGTATATAAAAGAAAATGTTTTGTAGTTTGAATAAAAGTAGACTGCTTAAAACTATATCTCTAAATGTATCAAACTAGCTTTAAAAAAAAAAGTATCAAACTATATTGAAGGTCCTACTCCTATATTAGTCTGTTGCTTTGTTCGGTGTTACATTTTCAGATTTTCTAATTAGATAGTCCATACTTTGAGGTTTCATTCATATATCATTAACTCAAGTACCATTTACCTTGAGAAGCAAACGTACTTCTATAACTTTATATCATCAATTTCTTTTAGTTTAACATATTATTATAGTCTGGCTGTAGTATGTTAACTTGTTAAGCTTATCTCATCATTGTATCTTAATTATTCTAAATCCATTTTTTACATTTCTGATTCATTCTATTATGTTAGTCTTCAGCTCACCTTCTTGCATCTGCTGGTATGGATCAAACTATCTGCATATGGAATGTTTGGAGTAAAGATAATAAGAAAGCATGCATGTTCAACTATCACAGTGCTGCTGTCAAAGATGTGAAATGGTCACATCATGGGCTGTTTGTGCTCTCTTGTGGATATGATTGCTCATCAAGGCTAATAGACGTTGAAAAAGGAATACAGAGTCAGATTTTCAAGGAGGACCAAGTTGTTGGAGTTGTAAAATTTCATCCAAACAATTCCAATCTCTTCATATCTGGAGGGTCTAGAGGTGGCCTTAAATTGTGGGATATTAGATCTGGAAAAGTGGTCCATCAATACGTACGAAATCTTGGTCCAATCCTTGATGTGGAATTCACCGTTGATGCCAAGCAATTGATCTCTTCAAGTGATGTTTCCAGAAGCAACATCAGTGAGAACTCGATTATCATTTGGGACGTTTCACGGGAAATTCCCTTATCTAACCAGGTATAGCATTTATTTTTACCTGTAGTAACTGTTTTCTTGTTTCATATTTGATTGCGAGTATAACAAGCAACAAACTCAAGGAGTATTCTAAGGTATCAAACCACGGGAATCAGGTGTTAAGCGCTAGCTCCTTATGAATCTAGTTTTACTGTAATCAAATGAATTATGCAATGAAATCAAATCTAAATAATCAAACATGCACGTAAAAGGGGATAATCGAGACCCATGAATGTAGTGACTTGCTTTGCAAACATCTCAAACTTAATGCCATGTTGTTTGTAGTCATGCATTCCACATTTTCCACTAATGCTAATTTTTGTGAACCATTTTTCAGGTGTATGGTGAAGCATATACCTGCCCGTCTATTAGATGCCACCCTTCTGAGCCATATTTTATTGCACAATCAAACGGAAACTATATAGCAATCTTCTCTACAACACATCCGTTCAGACTTGACAAATATAGAAGATATGAAAGCCATAGTGTTTCCGGATTCCCTATCAAATGCAGTTTCAACTTGGACGGAAATATTGTTGCATCTGGCTCCTCAGATGGATACATCTACTTTTACAACACAAAAACCTGTCAGCTGAACAAAAAGTTGAAAGCATATGATCAAGCCTGTATAGACGCTGTTTTCCATCCTGTGATGCCAAATGTTGTTGCATCTTGTAGTTGGAATGGACAAGTTTCTGTTTTTGAGTGAGGTTTCCAGATTTAGGTTGTTTTTGTAGGAGTTTCTGTTTATTGTACAATATACTAGAAGTTCACATAACCCATTGTTCAACCCACCCCCCAGGTTTATTGTTCTAATTCATTTCTGTTTTTATTATCTTGAATCCTTCAGGCTAGTACGTTTCCACAGTAAATCTTATATCTAATTTAGCATGAATTGCAATATGGTTGTCTTGATTATGTGAATATTAGATGCATGTATACTAATCCAACTTTCAAATGAACATTTTCATCATTTTGGGTTTAGAGGAAAGGAAGGGAAAATGCTGGTATAGGTCATGAATGGAGGGAAATGAGATATTATGATAAGGACACTTGAAAACTTTAAATACTACTATCACTTGGTAATCCATTATCATAAGAACTGAATTGACAGCTTGTTAAAGAATTGGGAGTCTATATCAAAAGTTTAAAAAGAGACCATTTATTACATAATGCATAACAATTGAGAAACGAGAAATATGATTTGTCTATACATTATTATACTAATTAGTATAAGGTAAATAGATGAACTTAAGTTGTTTAATCAAATTTTCTTGCCCACAAAAGGCGAGATTCTCTTGTCCTTAGGGATAGGGTTCACCAAATCTTGATCCAATAGGATACTGGAGTAGTAAATCAAGGTGACTCAGCGGCTTATAAGGTGGAGGACCTAGTGTCCACTATATTGGATGTAACTCTCTCACTGTTGCTGACAGGGCTCGATTCTATGTCATTGTTCACAATTTATCACCCAGAAACCAATTAAGTGATATAATCAAATTTTTGATATAAAATTTGGCAGTTCTAAATGCCTATATTCTTAAACTAAATTTGCAACAAACAAAAATCAAGTCTAATAATACGTGACTAATAACAATTTTTTTGAGATTGAATTTTCTGGGGATGACACATTTGTGATTTCACATTGAAAATTGAATAAAGATAATATTAAAATATTTGAATATTTTTGGATAATATTGATATTATCCAATTTGTTTAATTAGATAATATTAAAAGAGTTTGAATTTATCAAAATTCATTTATCATATAGCTATAAATATGAGCTCTTATTTCTATGTAAACATCTTAGGAAAAATACATCTTAAAATATTATTCAAAGATCACAATAAAATAATCTTAAAAGTAAAAGCCCTCCATGAAGATCATGCCTATCAAGATCATGCAAATCATGTTGATCCAAATCTCCATTGAAGATCAAATCATTTGAAACCGGAGGCCCTTCAACGAAGAACAAGCATATAAACTCTTCTTTGAAGATCAAGCCACTTGAATTCCAGAGGCCCTTATGGTGGAGTGTTCAAAGGCATCCAATTGAAGAATTAAAGAACTACACAGAGATCTTGTACCCTCACCACATTGATACTACTTTTAACCAGAATTTTGAATTTTGATATGTAATTCAATTTCCTTTGTACACAGAGACAAAACATATACAATATTCATAATTACATCGTTGCAATGTTTCATGCTTTTTAGACCTTATTTTCTTTTATTTATAGGAAAGCTCACAACCGTTACTCAAATGTGTGGCTTTAGGTAAAGCCTGTCTAGCTGACAAAGGATCACTATAAGTTAAACTAGGCTAGGTTATCCATGGTTGACCGATTCAAGAAGATCAATGACTGTTGGAAAATAGCTTGAAAATGACATAATAAGTGATTAGGTGATTAGTAGGGTCCACTTTCGATTTGGATCGGGACGAAGAGATTGATATATTGTACGCACGGATAATGCGTGAATGAGAAATTGATTCTCAAAGTAGACCCATTTGAGATTTGAGTTGGAAAAGTAAAGAGGAAAGACTTTATAGCTTTTGTCCCACATTGGTTTGAGAAGTGGGTTTGCACCATTATTTATAAGCGCCTTTGCTTGATGGGAACCTCATCTCGTAAGTACAACTTGGGGAAGTAGCATTTGTCCCATATTGGTTTGTGATTTTACACATAACATAAATTAGATTTTTCTCTCTCTCGAAGCTCCTCCTCCTTTCTTAACTTCCTGTGTTCATCCCACGTTACTCCTAACTTAAAACCCGTAGTATGTTATATTCGGGGAAACTTAGGCCGTAACGTTACTAGTTACTACCACATTTGGGAGACGGTAAATAAGATTTTAAGGAGAGAGTCCAACTCGACTCGTACTAAAAATCTACCCAATTATCCCTTCGTCCCTGTAGTTGTCTTTTCCCTTCGTCCCTGTAGTTGTCTTTTCCAAGAAATTTTCAATTTTTTCAGGAAAATAATAATCCTTTTTCGTAGGATTATTATACAAATTTTCGACCTTATTCGTCAACATAGACAGTTTCCACAAAAATCAAACTTGAAACTTAATTATTATCAAACTAATTATCCCACCAACTTAACTGGATTACCCTACACCTTATTTTCTGATTTTATTATATCTCATACCAACAAGATTGCAAAAAGTGCGGATTTTTTTTTATCTTTATTTTGGTTAGGTGTATGGAAGATAATAGAAAATTCCCAGAAAGGTTATGGAAGAATTATAGCCTTGATTTCATGATCCAACAATATCCAGTGAGGTCAATCATATTGTTGTTTGCCCACAATTTCTCAACTAGGCCACATATATATATATGTCATTCTGGATTCATTACCTTTCCTTTTTGTGGGAGAAATTAGGCCATGATATGCATGTCTACACAAGAAAGCAATTGAGGTTGAGATCACAGATACTCTTAGGCCCATTTTGGGCTCAGCCTAGCAGAGTTGTTGGGTGACTACCCACCCTCAACTGGGCCCTTCTTCACTGAGTAACAACACTGTAATAATTACAAAGATTATACATTTTTATGTATTTGCAATGTTTGACTCTTACTCTTGACAAAAGACATGAATATGACCGTCAATACTTTTTCGATATTATAGTTGCATTAATGGGGTGTTTGATAGAATGAAATTATAATTCCATTCCAACCAAACTTCCACTTCATGGAATTACAAATCCTGTCCCCCTTCTGTATTTCCTCAGGGTTGAATGGCCCCCCCCACCCCGGTCCGGCAGAGTAATTGCTCGCTGCTGAGGTTCGAACCTTGGTTGCTTCTCCTAAATACTGCCCTGAACCATTGAGCTAAGCCCATGCAGTCACACATCATTATATTCATGTCTACCAAACAATACAATTTAAATTCTCAATTTATTCTTTTCTCACTGAATTACAATTCTTTTCCTCCCTAATTCCCTCATCCCAACCAAACGCATGTGACATCCACTTATACTTTCCTCTATGGGAGAGTTGTCATGTACACTGATAAATCCTTAATTAGATTTGAACAAAACAGACAGATAGTAAATAAGACTGTTAAAGATATGTATGGCTGACATTTTATCTCTTTATATTTGTGATAGCTCCTATAGAATAGGTGTGTTTGAACAAGTTGTTACAACCTCCTACTATTCTCCCTCACTTGTACACTATAAAATAGCACGTTATTTTACATCAATGAAGCACAGTTTATAATCTCTACAAAGACAAGATTTACCTAGTTGAGATTTTTTATTAATTTTGATGAGGATAATTTATACGCATCTCTAAACATGTATATGTACAAAAATACCCCTTCTACCGTCCTGCAAGCCCGACCCACCCTGCTCAACTCAAGATTATGGATACAGTAAAAGTGATAGATATGTATTGTATGTATTACTGGAGTGTGCAGTGGGCGGGCATGAATTACTGGTGGTGCATCTATATCGTGGAAGCAAGGAAGAGTATGCCAAAAATGATCAGAGCTTGGGAGAATGACAAGCAAGATGGAGTGCAGCCAAACATTTGTCTACATACACCTAACCCATCATTATTATTATTAACATGGAGAAGAGAGCAGAGAAAAAATATATGTTGTGGGGGGCACTACTGTTCATCCACCAGCCTTACATGAGAACGAGAATCAAAAGTGGAGCCAAAAGGAGGATAGTTGAAACAAGACACAATTATGGCTTCTCTCTTCCCATTCTCCATGGAATTCATTATAGGAGACATGACACTTCCACTTCCCTTTAATTAGCTTCTTCAATCTTCAATCTTCTTAGCCCCCAACCAAACCCTAATATAAATCCCCGACCAATCAAGTTTTTCACTTAGTTACACAAGTTTAACGTTTTGAGTTGAAAATTAGATTTCGAATTCAGTCTCAACTCATAAGACCATCAACCTGTCTAAATGTACTGAAGAACTAACAATGCCAAACATGTTTTACATATAGATTTCTAATCAGGTGAAAACCAACCTTAATCAGCAAACTTGTGAAGGATTGCACCGCAATTTCTACATAATTACACTGCTACAGCTTCCAGACATGCCTGAAGGATTTTATGGTGCAATTGTATCCGAGTGCGGTGCAATCATGTAGTAACTGCAGTGTAATTCTTCACAAGTTCGCAAGTTAAGATTGGTTCTCACCCGATTATGGACTTATATAGATTTTAAATGTTTGTGCAAACACAAAAGGGAATGAGATTGATGAGGGTGCATTATACATGCTGTTTTGAACTAGTATCATCAAGGCAGACATTGCACAACACACACACATATATAAATATATATATTTGTTTATTGAAAGCACTATCCAGACAATCCAGCAACTTCCCATATAATAAATGGTCCACCACCCCTTTTAGAAACTATTTGTAATGGAGAATATGGTAATCCCTGAGTCCAACACAAAGAAAGAAACAGAGTCACAATACCTATTTCCCTAACCTATGTCTATATTGTGTATTATTATTATTATTATTATTATTATTATTATTATTATTATTATTATTATTATTTTGTTTTTTTCAACTCCTGCATGAATGTGTTCCCCACATTGCTTGGTTTCAACGCCCAACCCTATTTCTCTTATCTTTCCCTCCCTGACTCCCTCTCTTTTAAATAATAATTTGTTATAATATATGTTGCACCAAATGTTTACATTTTTATCTTATATGAACTTGTGACGATGAACAAAGAATCAACAATATAATGTTTAGTTGAACAAGGAATCATTATAATTCACTTGTACACGTATCTAGCTTCAATTCTTTAAAGGATGGTTAAAAATTTACTCATTCCTCCAGCATAATTAGTGATGAGGTTCAAAACGTTTTTAATTTTAAAATTCTGACTTAAACAGTTAAAATACATCCCATAATTTACTTATGAACTTTAAGGTAAAAGAATAAGGGAAGCCCTCAAAAAGTCAAAATTAGTGTGCTATTCTTTTGTTTCGTGAGCAGCCACAAATAAGATTCGATTCCTATACTAGCTATTAAGGAAGATCACGGGTATATATATAATTGGTCTTTTAAATATTTAGATACACCTTGTGATTCACTTTCAGACTCCGAGACAGAGAATAAGTGGAGCCCTCCAAATTAGAGTGTAACTCTTGTGTTTTTTTTTTTTTTTTTTTTTTTTTTTTTTTTTTTAAATACTATCTAGTGAACTATTAAATTAAGCCCGTGCAGGTAATTCTTGTGTTTCTTTAATAGAAAATGTGGCATAAAAAGCAAGAAAGTATTCCCTGTATCTTGGTGACATCAGTGAAGCAGTGAAGGAGAGGCATTTAGTGTGGAGGTGGGCTAGTGGGTATTGGTTATTTAACAATTTAGGGTTGGGGGAGGGGGCCACAGGGCAGCCTAAACGGTGACATGAGGAGATGGGCTAAAAGGTTTTTCCCCAAAGACCAATCAATATGGATTAGTCTATGGTCTAAGTCTAAGTCTAAGTCTAAACCATAATGCCACTAATAGGGCTACTATTTCTCCATGTTGGATTATGGAGCATAAAAACAAGATTTACACATGACATTGTGTGTGTGTGAGTGAGTAGGGAATCTAAGTGTGTGTGTTATCTTTTTAATTTTTTTATATTATATAATAATAATAATCCCAACTTTTGATCTATCTTGTCATGTTTTATGCTTTATTATTTTAATTATAAATTATATAATAGATTAAATGCTTATCCTCCCCTACAATGCTAGCTAGCTAGAGGCCATAACCATAAACAAGTACTATTTTTTTAAAATAAAATTTTTGGGATTGTTCAAAAGGATGGAAAAGGTTGAATTCAACCCCTCATACTTATATTATATCTCTTGAAATCCTGGCCTCCTAAAGTGAGAGACAAACTCATTTTATAGGTAACTAGCATGTGATTTTGTGGCCTCAATCAAGCTCTTTCATATGCTTGGTCTTCCTTTTCATTCAATAGTTTTCACCTTCTATCGTTAAACTTTATTTCTCAATTCTTATCTAGAAGAGAAATGTTCGGTACAATTTCAATCTTTACACTTTATTTCTCAATTTTTAACCAGAACACAAATGTTTAATACAGTTTTATGTGAATTATTATTAATTGGAGGCTACGTTCTTATATACTCTAGATTTTCATCATCTTCACTTCGTGTTACTAGACCATAAGGTCATTGACGTATTTAATACAATGTATTATGATTTTTATTTCTTTTTTCAAATACTCGTTGACTATTTATTCCCAATAGGCAAAAGAAAAGCTGGCAATAAACTATATATTGAGGTAGCTAGGCTACATGCAAGTTGCAACAGCCTACCATCATTTCCTTACATGCTATATTCTTTCCTATTAAGGTAGTCTTTCTTGCTAGTGCAATATAGTATAGCTTCTCTGTAAACCATTAAATTAATCAATCAATTTTTCAAAGTAAAAATAAAAAAAAATAAAAATATACACAGAGCTGACAAGCATAATTACAATTAACCTTTGGCACAGCAATGATTTCAAATGGTAATCATCTTGTAAAAGGTGTTAAAACAATGTTGTCGGTTGATGCTTAGATATCTAGCCATTTTAATTATAAAGAAACCCTAATTGAGTCTTTTCATTGTTGATGAGATCATGGTACACTATTATATAGTCTGCATGAAATTTCTCAAGTCTTCACTTTAAATAAGATTATAAGATTGATTTGATTTGTCTTTTCATTAATGTTCCGAATAAAATAAAAATTACTTCAATGTTATCCCTTGAAAATGCTAACAGAAAAAGTATGAAAGCTTTCAAAATTATCTTTCACTTTACACTACTGCTTGTCTGGTAAAGTACAACTTTAGTGCATGGTTGAGTTAGACTTGTATTGTGAAGTATTATTACAGAAATTACACATGTCTAATATATTAAATTTTTTAATTATTATCTTTGAAAAGTGAAAAAGCTTTAAATCTTTTATTAAAATTATTGCAAATAACTTTGAGGGATCGGAAGAACTCATAGTTTATAATTGTGTGTCTATATATGATATTGATAGTGTTTTTTATCATATATATATGCTATTGGTAGTTTTATTTGACCAAACTTATCATAAAACAACGTATTAGATGTATTTTTTGCAATAAACAAATGTTTAAAATAGATTAAATAATAAAATGGATCTTAAAAGACCATTCTCGGGCTACAATTGAATAATTAAACAATGTGAACTACTTAGCCCGAAAGTATTGGCCTAATTGACTAGCCTAAGCCACTAGCCAGCTAGCCTTTCAACAGAGACGACCTTAGGACACTGAGAATACCTTAGGACACTGAGAATACAAGTGAATATCGCGTGCCAATGAACCACCACCACTTGTTCCAAGGGCACGTTCATCAAGTCCAGATGAAGACGAAGAAAGTCAACTACCGCTGACCACCCCACTCACCTCATACTTACCATACATACCAATTATTTTTTGCCAAGTATAACTTGAATTGTATCAGATATTATTAACATATATTTTCACAATGTCCAATACAATTAAACATGATATATATACTCAATATAATTTTTTTTTTTTTTAAACAATACCAATCAATACTTATATATATGTAACATGCAAAGATGCATATATAGATAGTAGTTTGGAATTATGCGGTTCTCTATCCACTTTAATAATATTGTCGTGATAGAAGAGGTACGTAAGTGATATTACAGGATGATTAAAAACAATTTACCCAAACATAATAATGCAAAGGGTGATAGATGGGCAACCTCTCATCTGACACAAGTCTTTATTAATTAATTTTTGTGGATCTATATATCTATCGCAAATTAAATTGAATTGAAGGCATTTTTCATGTTGACAAGTGTATAAGTAATAAAGCGAAAGCTGGAAAAATGATTGTGCACCACACTGCATAATTACATAGTTTCACTGTCTCCCCCCTCACCAAACATTCACAGTAATTATTCTGTACTTGTGTTTCCTTTAGTCTACAGAATTACGCACGAACAGTCCATCCTTTCTACCGACATATAACATACCCTCACTCAAGACTAATGGATAACCAACGAATCTGGTCCTCACATACACATAATAGTCTTCGATTTTGATGCATGCATTAAAAAACAAAAGCATTCACATTCCAGGACATATATAAATATATATATATATATATATATATATATATATATATATATATATATATATATATATATATATAGGGTTGAGTTCTCATGAGGACCACAATATATAGATGATTGTGCGGTGCACACAACAAATTAGTATCAGGAACACAATTTAATACATAATGGCACACAAGAATACATGTAAACAGCAGGTTTCGAACCCAGACTCTATCAATTAACAAACCTATGCACACGACATACAAACTGTGACACACGACTACATTAGGCCAAGCACACGACATACAGACTAATGGCACACGACTACACCAGTCCGCACGGTCCTCGATAATATAGTGGTTCTCATTTGAACTCAACTATATATATATATATATATATATATATATATATATATATATATATATATATATAAGTGTTTGGTAAATTAGTGGTTAGCTGATTACATGCAAAATGACTTTCTCAAAAAGCTTATCGAAAAAACTGCTTTGAGTAGCTTTTTGAATTTTAGCGTTTTAGAGGAAAAAACAATTACAAAAAGCTAATTAATCAAACACTCATATTGAGTGTTTAACCAAGTCAAACAACTAATAGTGGTCAAATAAACCAAAATTTACTGATAAACTAATTATATTACCAGAGGCCATTATATTTATCTTCTAAGTCTTGATAATTTTTTTTTTTTAAATGACCTACTAGATAAATATATTTAACTCAATCACATGTAATAAGACACATAGTTTGAAGACATTTAATAAAATTAGAACAATGTAAAGAAGATTAGCATCACTTTTATGAAATTAAAGTATGATGCGCAAAAATGTGATAAGACTTATGGAGTATTAAAGAATTCATAATACTCAGCT